TGCCAATACATCCGCTATTTGGGCCTAGGGGCTGAAAGGCCCATACTAATAGCCTGCCAAGGGGAAAAGGAGCGCGGCCCTTCGGGCTCACACGCGGGCCAGGAGTACAAGAGGGTTCGGGCCTCGCGCGGGCCGCTAGCGGGCTGTGAAGCCCGCGCTGCTGATATTAGTATGGTGCAAAAATATATAACAAAGTGTTGCGGGCAGCAAGGATCGAACCCGCAACCTCCCTCAACCAAACAGGCGTAGGCACCACAAGGCTACGAGCCCAGTTGGTATTAAAATTGAAATCTGAAGTTAATAGCTAATAAATTGCCTGATACTGAGAAAAATCGAAGAGAGCAAGGAAGACACAGGCTGCTAAAAATAAAATAACAGAATACAGACCCTTGCTGTAAAACAAATTCCCGGCAACGAGTTTCAAGAGATTATCAACAATCGCATATTTTCAGAGTTCCGAAATATATTTTTAGCAAGGGTTTTGGCTCGAAAACGGAACAACCAAACATAAAAGCATAATGAACGACCGGATTTAGAATGACCCGAACAACCTAACGACGGCTCGAAATAACGAAATGAGACTCTGAATTTATACACATTTAACACAGCAACGAAACAATATACACGTTTATGAAATTGAGAGTTCCAATCACTTCCGAAAATCCACGAATATACGAACAATCAACAAATAATAACAAACCAAACCAAAAATTCGATTTCAAACGCGAATTCGGTAGCACATATGATGTATAAATCTATCATGTAATATACGAAAACGACCGGAATTACGAGAGGATTCAAATATGTTACCCGTCTTCGGGAAACTACGAGTAATCGGACGGAAAACGGGCCCGACAGCGGGTCGAACAACCGGCTTTGGGACTCTGAACTGCACGCACGGGACTAAGGCTGCTGGCCGGGACCGGGTGCTGACTGCAAATGATGTCCACGTACAGAAGCTCCTCACGACGGACGACGACCGAGACTCGCTGCGAAACGGAGACTAGCAGTTTGCCGGAGACACTCGCCGGAAAGAATGGTGGGCGGAGCTTAAAGTCGCCGGAATGGATAGCGACCGGGCTGCTGGGACTGGACGGGCCTGGTGCGCGACTGAGAGTGCTACTCGGAGGGACGACGGCGATGGCCACGAACAGCTGGTCGCCGGTTTATGCAGATACGCGATTTGAATTTTTTTTTATTTTTTTTTTAACGAAGAAACAGAGAGAGATGAGAGATTAGAAAAGATGAGGGAGAACGGGTTCTGATCCTAGAAGATATATAGCGGAAGAGAGGAGAACGTGCCAAATATCTTACGCCCAAATCGAAACTGAAGTTTAGAGCGATGATGAGGGAGGCGACCAGTTAAAGAGATTTGAAACGTGCAGATCGAAAAATATTAGGCCAATTTAGTTTTTACCAACTTTGGCCTGACATAATTACAAGACATGGTCATCACTATTTAATCATTTGGGCTACAATTATTAATAAGAGGAAAATGGGCTCAAATTGGTCCAAAGATTAATCTCAAGCTCGATAAGAAAACGCGACAACACGAATTAAAATAAAACCGGACATTATATATATAATACACACAATAATATTATTTAATAATAAACATTTAAACACATAATAACAATTAGACAATTAATAACATAATAATAATAAT